CAACTCGCCCTGTATACCGCTACAATCTATCCCGTTTATTGATAAAGTGCAAGAGTTCTAGGAAGGGACCAGCTTAGGGACAGCATCTGTCTGTCTGGGAAGTCTACCGTGCGGAGATGTGGTGGGTTAGCCACCTCGGGATACCCATGGAGTGAAGTGTTCGAGTGCCCAGCGGACAGATGAGTTAGCCAATTAGGGACAGACGAAGGGACAGCTTTGCACTTTGCAATAACACCTAGCTAGCGGGTCACGGGGTTTCTGTGCCTTTGGGCTAACACGTCTTCTGATACTAACAAATAAAGATTATCTTTTAGAATCTAACATTTCATAGGGGGGACTGATGTAGAATTATTAAAATCTTTATTAGAACCTGTATTGAATTATTGTACTAACTCCATTTTGTTCACCTTACATGACAATTTCCTGACAGTATTCAGTATAATGAATAAGAGATTGTATTTTCTCTCTCTAAGGACATAACTAGCCCCGGAGTTAGCGGATCTCCGTTGACTTGCAACATAGTATAATCCAAGGCCAGGAGAACAGTGACAAAATGAAATGTTCTATTCATAAAAGAACCTTGGAACAGACCACGAGACTGACATCACTAACTACGTAAAATGACGCCCAAGCCCCCCTTTCCACCGAGTAAGCCTCGTGCTAAAGAGCAATGGCGACGACATCCCATGATGGGAGGGTGCCTCACTAGTCACTCAAATCTCTGAGCCAATTAATAATATTAATGGGTGGACACTGACATAGCCACTTAACATTTAACCCAATTAATGATGTTTATTTGTTATTATCTGATATTCAATGATGATGTCATTTTGCATATAAAAAGGCCTGCGTGCCCGCTTTTTAACTAGATGCTAATAAATTTCCTGAAGTGTTTTTAACCTGAACTGCATGTGTCAGTGTAAACTTACTTCTGCGTATACGCAATTTATTCATCTCAGATTTGGACAGGAACAGATAGACTTTTAAACATTTTTGTTTATTTCTAAATTAATCTACATCACTTACTACTATTAACATATATTTCCTTGTCTAAAACGGCTTCGCTATTAACTAGAAGAAAAATACCTCCTATAAGTAGATGTTGGTCATTAAACACACCGTGCATGTTATTCTAATATATTACTAAAGGGTTTTCAAAATGAAGAAAAATTAGATCAAATGAAAAGCAAATATATTTATTATGCACTTTCATATACATGAGTTCTTTGCTGAATATAATACAAGGAATAAAATAAAAAATTTACAATGTGTAATTCAATTTACATTGTCTATTTACAATCAAAAAACAAAATAAAAAAATGGTTATAAATGAAATATTTCCATTGAGAATGTTATGTTTTCAGCAAAATTTATTTGCATAGCAGAGTAAATGATTCAAACAGGAAAAGGTTACAAATAAACGAGACATCTTAAATACTGTAGTGTGGATCAATATTAAGAACAGTCAATAAGGAGAAACTGCAATGATTACCAATCATGCATTAATGATACAGCATTTTCAGAGCTGCTATATCAACCGTTTCTTCCTGCATAGACATCTTCCTTAGCATTTTTTGGAGAGGCTAGTGGTTTTACCAAAGACAAATTGCATTAAGGGAGAAACACGCAAACTTTTTTTCCCCCAGTTAAAGAAAAAAATATATACATAACTCACTTAACTCACTTAGTGACATGCAGATGAACGGCTTAGAAACAAAAAAATAAATATATTTTTATAATTGTTTTCCAATCCAAATATATTTTTATTACCAGTAAGCGAAGACATTTGAAAAAAAATAAGTAAAAAAAACAAACTTTGCGGTCCCTTGTGATATCGGAAAAGGCATTGTATCCAAAAGACACAAGGTGCATTAAGCAGAAATTTAAAAAAAAAACATTAAAAAAAAAATACTCCCATAAAAACAAAAAGGATCAGCAAAAAATAAAAGCTTTTAGGGAATTAAAGGAAAAAAAATATACATAGTGACAATATTATACAGCAACATATACTGTACTCATTGTGTAACATTAGGACTGAAGCCATTCGCATTCTTAAGGCTTTTGTTTAAGAACTTGTTATAGTCTTATGTATCCCACAGGGACAAGGAACGCAAAACGTTTTGCTAACTTTATACATTTCCTCTGCAGAGGCTGCATCATTACTACTCTAGTGCTTTGCATGGAAAATAAATATATGCTATTAACATTGCTACAACAAAACTTAGGAACCACAGTCATTTAATTTGTAAGTCATACACACGTACATGTCCACTTTTGACACAACAGGCAGACTATACACTTTTTCCTCTAACTGGACAAAAGACAACAGATTACAAAACTTTATTTAAATAAGCAGAACGTTAACACCAAATACATAACACTGAGCTTTTCAGTGAGGGATAAATATGATTAAAAACTTTTTTTTTTTTTGCAAAGTTGAGCATAATACATTAACTCTACAGCAAAAAATGAAAAGTATAATAAGAAAATAAACTGCTGATCTGAGTGTGTACTGTGCAGGTAGAGGAATTGCAAATAAGCCTTCAATAGTATACTATAAGTAAATACTGGGGGGGGAAAAAGGGGAGGGGGCATGGGATTTTTTTGTGTCACTCTTATATTGATATGTGCGTGAAGCGCACTGCTGTCATTTTTAAAATACTGTCAAGGTTGGACAGATTACAAAAGTTGTAAACATTTTAGCCACTTGGTCATTAAAGGGAAACTGTGGTATATTTGGCATTTATTTTGTTTGTTTAATATGCATATAATATATAAAGAAATCTAATTGCTGCTATATTTTTCTCTTTTGCAGGTTTTCCCATGGATATGATCAAATTTCTCTGATTTTCACAAAAGCCACAAACTGGAATCTTGCACCCAATCCATGATCTGCTATAGCATTCTATGGGAGAACAGTTGATTTCCTTTTGTTATGAAGGATTCCACTTGTTGCTGTATAAGTGGCAGTAACATTTTATCTAGGTAAGATTTACAGCAGGGATCAAACATCAAGTCAAGATGTCTCACTGACTGGTGTTATAGACCAGGTCAGAGGTTCTTAACCATTTATGACAGTAAACCAAAATGTTTACAAGGCACTAGCCTTGCAACGCAATGTTCAACTGCAATTAGCTCAGTAATGCATTAAAGACGTTGACTACAAAGAAATATTTGTGGGTCTACTTTGGGTACAGTAAACCATGCTATGTAGGTCAAGTGCCAGGGGCCCAGGGAATACAAAGTGCCCGTTGGGAACCCATCAAAAGGCATGATGACCCAATTTTGATCTGACCCAGTAATTAAAAAACAATGCACCACAGATTAGATCCACGATGTATGTATTTTTAAGGCAAAACAACTAAACATTGCAGAAGCAACAGGTACATTATTAACCAATAACTTTAATATTAAAAGCATCGTCAGTGCCTGGAGTTTTACATAAACAAAGAAATAAGAAAAGGAAAATATGTCAAATTCACTGCAAAGGCATTTATATCCGTGATTCTGAGTCGGTGTTAAATCTAAGTGTAGAACTAGTGTTTCTGGAGGGGGAGGGGCTGCCTGCAGTCACAAAGTGCATTTCTGTGCACAGTACATTTTAAGCACACATGTTTAACAAAGTAGCCTACAACTAGGCACATTAAAGCAATTTTCAAGTCCGTTTTCTTTTAGAAGTTTCCAAATACATGTTTTCTTTGAAGATCTAAATTATTTATGCTTTTGCGATGATGGATGACATTTTTCAGTATATTATATTTTTGTGCTTCTTAAACCTGTAGAGTTAAAAAGGAAAACAAAACAAAAAACTTGTATTAGCAGCATATTTACATAGTACTTGTTTCACATATAAGTATACTTACTATAATAAACAAATAAATTATTTTCATCTTGCCAAATTACTTTGTTTTAGTCCTACTCAGTACATATTTTTAATGGTTTCACTTTGCTAAGAAAGTCTGTTCTTAGGAGGGACAGTCCATACTTTTGACACAAATCTCTCTGTCCCTCTTTCCTAGTAGCTCCATAGTCTCGGTGTGTCCGAGTGTATAATAAATGTGTTTAGAAAGGTGTAAGTAAGATACATTGTTCTTGTTCTAAATTACATTCTAATTGCATAAATTGTTATTAGTAAGTTACCTAACATTTTGCAGAACAGCCCCGGCACTAGCCACACCCCTACTCACATCCCAAAAATTAAAGTGTCCCTCTTTGTCCGTTTGAAATGTTGGGAGGTATGCCAATATGTTAATTCAGGAACACATTTTTCCCCACAAAACAATGGATTGTAGAGAACTGAGAAATTAATTGAAAACAGAGTAATTGAGAAATATTTCACATTTGGATATTCTGGTCTTCATTTTGGAATTCAGTTTTCAACTCACCATAATTCACTGTTTAGTGAATAATCTGAATTGTGTGTATCAGACTCAAACTACTGTTTTAAAAAAAAAATTGAAAAAAATGAAAAAAAATTGCCATAAATACACACTTTCCTGTACTTTATCTTCATAATTAGCTTACAAACAAGAACAAAAACATAAAAAGTAGTTTATACTATAGATACTGAAAACAAGTGTTCAGGCAAATTAAATGTATCACTCTTAATTCAAACTGTGCTTTGGCTGCCCTAAACTGAGACATGGAGGGTGCTTCGGTTGTTCTCAATATCCATCCTAATTCATTATTTTATGTATTTATTCATTTTTATACTCTCAGCACTTGGATTTTACTCAAACAAGTTTTAACTTCTCATGCTTGTCCATTTCTTCTAAATTGCAAATCATGCTATAATCTTATGTTTCATAGTTTATAGTTCCATTTCTTCCATTCCAAACCGTTTAGGATTTATTACCTTTATCACAATACGCAAAACCCAAATTCTGTAACTAGAGCATAACAAAACTATCAAGTTGCCAAAAAGCTGCAGTACTGTTTGATAGTAAAATACACTACTATACAGTGTTAGGAAAATAAAGATTCATTAAAATACTTACCAGTTATAGTGGGGTTTCCTTTTTGTAGTTAAAGCTTGGGTCAGATCCTTCAATTTGAAGTTTCAATGACTGGTTAAGGCCTAACTCTGTTTCTGTTGAAGGGTAGCCTTCCAGGACATCCTGATGTCCGCGGCCTTGCATTGCACGTGGCACAGAAACTCTACCAAGAAAAACTTGGTTTCCTTGAAGGTGATAATTAGGATTTGTCATTATGCCATTTCTTTTCTTTTGTTCTGCACTTTGTTGTTGAATCAGAAATTGTTGTTGAGAGCGGCCAACCTCTTGTTGCACAGACGGGATTTGTATTTTAGATGCAGTGTCAACTGGGACCTGTTTTAGTGGTACATTCACCCCAGTTACAGGACTTGGCACATGTACTCTTTTGTCAAACTGAGTCATTTCATACTCCAATACCTTAGGCTGAGAACAACTATTCAGTTTTGTTTTCTTTCCTACAGAGCCTGATTTGTTTGAGGTTTCTCCTTTCCCTCCTTTATTTGACTTTGTGGATTTTAAACTAGGTTTAACTTGGCTCCATTCAAATTCACTTGTTGGCGAATTATTTTGTCCCAAAGAATGTGTTGTGGAAGTAGGAGAAACTACAGACTGTCTGCTTCTACTACGTGGTAACGAGTGCTGCTGAATTTGTTCAGTAAAAGAAAGGCAATGGAAACTATCGATAGGCACTGTTTGAGCTGTTGCTGTAGAAGACGTTGTGCGAAGTGAAGAATTTTTTGAACTCTTCAAGGAATTATTTGATAGTGATGACTTGTGTCGATCCACTGTCGAATCTGGAGATTCTGAAGGAGAGCTAAAAGCATGTGAAGGTCCATTACACATGCCACGCATTGTAGGATGCACATCACCACCACCTGTACTAGATGAACTGTTAGATTTAATTGTTAAAGACTGTACTTTTGTCGAGGATGGATTTAAGGCCTTTTGCTCCATGGTATGAACAGGGGATGGATTGCATCCATTTAGTGTTGTGGCTCCATATTTGTCAAGGAGTTTGATTATTTGAGTGTGTCCATTTTTTGCTGCTACTCTCATAGCTGTTCGTCCAAATTGATCAGCATGATTTGGATCTGCTCCATGCTCCAACAAAACTTGGACAACATCTGTGTGACCTTCCTGTGCTGCAATACACAGTGCAGTAGCACCTTGGTTACAAGTATGGTCAACAAGTGCTCCTTGGTCGATTAACAGTTGTACCACTTTTACATGACCTTGCCAAGCAGCAGACTGTAAGGCAGATCGCTTCTCATTGTCTGACGCATTGACATCGGCCCGGTATGATATAAGAGACTGAACCATCTCCAAATGACCCTGCCAGCAGGAAACATGGAGAGCGGTTCTTCCTTCAGTATCACTAGCTTCTACGTTTGCACCATTTTCTAAAAAATATTCAGCCATTGTGAGCTGGTTTTCCAGTGACAATATATAAAGGGTTGGTCGTCCATCAGCATCCTTAGCATTAATGTCTGCACCATTAGTAAAAAGCAATTCAACTATGTCTCGGTGTCCTTCCAAAGATGCAACACGAAGAGCATTTCGACCATCATAACCCTTTTGATCAACTACAGATTTACTCTCCAACAATATTTGCACACAATCATAGTGTCCTTCTTGTGCAGCCAGTATTAAAGGTATACGTCCATCATTATCAATTTCATTTGTTCTAGCACCTTGTTCAATTAATGCTTCACATATTAATCGGTGCCCCTCAAAAGATGCCATGTGCAGAGGAGTCCATCCAGCATCATCCCGGTGATTTTCATCTAAGCCTCTGTCAAGAAGGGTTCGCACAACTTCAACATTCCCTTGGGCTGAGGCTATACTAAGAACTGTTCTGCCTTCACTATCAATGCTATCAACAGCTGCACCCCAAAAAAGAAGTGTATTTACAACTGATGCATGTCCCATAGATGCTGCAGCAAGCAGAGGAGTACGTCCATTATTATCAGTATGATCCACATCAGCACCACCTTCTAAGAGCAGATCGACAACATCTACATGTCCTTCATATGCAGCAACAAGTAGAGGAGTCATTACATCCTTATCACAGTGATCTACTTCCGCACCCCTTTCAATGAGAAGGCTAACTACAGATGCGTGTCCCTTGCTTGCAGGTACACAAAGTGCTGCAACTGATAAAGCTGTTCTTCCATCCACATCTTCATGGTTAACTTCAGCACCATGACTTAAAAGATGCTCTACAATTTCTCTATGCCCCATGTACGCAGCTGCAATCAAAGCAGTTCTTCCTTCATTGTCAGCTTTATTGACTTCTGCTCCATGTTGTAGCAAATTCAACACTATATCTTCATGCCCTCCCCATGCTGCAGCTCTTAGAGCTGTTCGACTATCTGCATCTGCACAATCCACTTTCGCACCTGCATACAAAAGAGCAGAGACTACTTCAGTGTGCCCACCCCACGCTGCAGATCTTAAGGCTGTCCACCCATCATGATCACAATGATTTATATTTGTACCACACCCAATTAAGCAATTCACCACCTTCACATGTCCTTGGCGAGCAGCTAGAGTAAGTGCAGTCTGTCCATTGGTATCTTCTATTTCAAGATCAGACCCTCTTGACACAAGCAAATTGACAACATCAAGATTGCCACTGTAAGCGGCATTTCCCAATAAAGTTCTTCCATTTGAATCACATTGATTAACTGATGCTCCATTATCCAGCAAAGTGCGAATTGAATCTTCCCTTTCTAAAGCTTGTCGTACAATGCAACATGTTCTATCATCTTCACTATCAACATGAGCACCCGCTTTTACTAGCAGTTGTAGCACCTCTTGCTCCTTTGGTATTACAGTACACAATGAGTCTTTGACACACGTTCCATTCCAGATCATCCACAAGGCTAGTTCCGAATTTGTTAGTTGCAAATTTGAATGTATTAAATGTAAAGCAAACTCCTGTACTTCAACTGGGGTCAGCTCCTTTGCCCGACAGGTATGACTCATTGCAAGCATTCGATGGCCCTCAGCTGCATTACATAGATATTTTTGAGTGCAATGTTTCACATCAAGCAACCATTCAGCAAAACTATAATGGAATAACATTTTTGTATTCCCTGACCCTTCAACTAGGACTTTTGATAGGACATCCAATTTCCGCTGGAAATCTTCCATTGTTAATGACATATTTTTTGTCCAAACTGCATGGAAAAGTTCAATGGTTGTTAGAGGCCTACAAGCGGCAAGAATAACATTTAATATTGGCTGGACTTTTGCAAACTGCTTTCTAACAAAAAGTCTTTGACAAAGCCAGAGGTATAAGCCATTTAAAGTTCCAGGAATATCACGGATCTCTCGAAGCATGATGAAGTTTTCCACGACTCCATCTAAAACACGCTCCAAGTAGAGAAAGCACCCACTGCTTTTGATGTGGAGTTGGTTTAACATCTCTGCAGTCTCCTTTGTCAAGTGTTGTCTCAACGCTTCTTCTTGGTCCAAGCGATGAAGAATATATTGCTGCACATCTTTTACTATGTAAGCCTTGCGTAGATCATCCAAACTTATTTTTCGAAAACCTGTAAATTAAAGAATAAAATTATAATTATTTGTGCACGTAAATCATATATTGCATGGCAATTAAATACATTAGAGTGTTATCTTTTTCAGATACTACATTGAAATACGAAGACTCATTCCAAATATCCACACTTCACATCTTTTTTTAAACAAAGGAAACAAATTTTGACAGCAGACAAAATCCAATCTACTTCAGGTTTTGTCCTCAAGAAAATGTCATTTGTACTTTGGTAAACCATGCAGATATTTGTAAGTTTTTATCATGTCACCAATGTCTTTCTCTGCTCAAAGCAATTCATATTTTGTTTTTTTTCTTCAGTTTACAGATTTGTTAATACAGACGTTGCGCTATTCTAGTAACCCTTTTCTTAACTTTAATTTTTTGTATGACAAATTCTTTAGAATTGGCCACCAATATTACAGGTGACCTTATATAAGATGTAGGCATATAGTATTCTGCTTCACGCCATTTAGCACGGATTTAATATTTTATTGAAAACGTAACCAGAGTGAGGTTTTACAAGTTATATATAATATACTTCTCAACATAGAAGGGGTGTGAATGTAGGACTGGGACAGGTCAGAAACACCATGGGTATAATTGGTGATGTCATAGCTGATGGGACAGACTGAAGAACAGATTGGTTCTGTTCAATAAAGGGTTCACTCAATGCTGCTCATGTGCATGGATCTGTTGAAGAGCTTTGCCATTGGTTAGGTGCCCTGAACGTAGTGAGTGCGTCATATGATGCTTTTATGCTGCACCTTCGTGGAATTAGTCTCCATTGTTCCAAGAAGTGGCACACCAGAGAGTAAAGCCAGGGCAACAGAAAATGCCCCTGAAATTAGGACTGCCCTGCCATATGCAGGAAGGTTGGAAGGTATGTTATTAAGTGGTATCTGTACTTCTATTTTCTTTGTAGATTCCTCTCCATATACTCTCAAGTGTCAATGTTTCAATTTCTTCTTTTCTAATACAATGTGTGGTCTGCAAATGCCTGGACTAGGAGGCATTGTGATGCCATTTGCTATATTTTAATATCCATAAAAAATGATTTCTAACAGTTTAATTTCCAGATAAATGTAGGTTTCCCTTTGAATCAACTTTTGTATGAAAGTTAAAAATTGAGTGTTGAAAACATACATTTAAACACCACCTGCACCACTACAAATGTTGATCTATAACCCTCTCTTCATTTAGACAAGGGCATTTCAACTTCAGCCTTGTTAAAGGTCTACTTTTCATGTGTGATGAGATCACGTTCTGATGATAATTATGCACCTGGCATGAAAGGAATGCTATAGGTATGCATCATTGCTATTTATTTAACAGTCACTTTTATTCTGGACAATAAAGAAAAGCAGCATGCACCTGTTGATTATAGAAGAGCACTGTCTAATCATGGCCTTCAGCTGTTGGACTACATTCCCCATAATTATCTGCCAAATACTGAGTATTATAATCTTATAAGAGGTGGAGGGCCAATAACTAGTGGAGAGCTAGTCAAATTACCCTGACAAAACTTTAAAATATAAAATGACAAATGTTTATGTATTAGACTCAGGGTTTACATTTTCATGTACTAGTCAGGCTTAAGATGGTATTTGCTACACATACATACAGAATTAAGCATTTAATTTAATGCAAAGCATGTCTGAAGCATTTTACTGGGTGTAAACACAGGTGTTTATTTGAATGGAGGGTCTGTATGTATAAATGCAGGTGCGTGTTTGTGTGCAAAGGCATATTTGTATTTAGGATCATGGTGTGTGAGAATGTGTGCTTCAGTGTGAGAATCCTGGGATGTATTTGTTACCTTCCCATATCCAGGCATACCTTCGGCACTCCAGATGTTTTGGACTACACCTCCCATGATGCTTTGCCAGCATTGTGGGTGTAAGAGCATTATGGGGAATAAAGTCCAAAACATCTGGTGCGTCGAAGGTTGCCTTATCCCTGCTTGACTAGTCTATCCATCTCTATCTCAATTACGGTTCACATCTTGGAATGTCATACAACCCTCAACCCACATGTGTCAATAGCCCATTACGATTGTTCTACAGACAAAGGCTCTAGTCCTTGAGCATCCCTAAACCAGAAAGCCTTCATTGGTATCCTTTCCAAATCATAGCAGCAAAATATAAGCAGGTGCAGGTACAATTAATGAATCTCTGGGCCAACTTGCAGGGACTCACTTCCCAATTACCCATGGCAAGTGGGCTGGTGACAAAGGATACAAGCAGTGCAGATAAACTGGTTTAAAATTGCATTATCAAAAGGCCTAAGTGCCAGTACAATTTTTGCCATGATTATTTAGATCTCTAACACTATCCTTAAAACACTTGTTGACAGAAAAGCTCCCAGAATGTAATAGGTTTTCTAAAAACACCTAACCTAGGCAAAAATAATGGGTATTTAGTTACAATATATAATCATACATTGCATAAGCCTGCCACAACGTCAATGTACCCCATTTAATACGGTTCCTCACAATAGGTTAGTCTTCAAACTAAAAGAAATTGGTCTAGATGAATATTCTTGTTCTTGGGTAGAACATTGGCTTAAGGATAGAGTCAACGAGTTGTCAATGGTAAAATTTCAGGCTGTACAAAAGTGGTAAGTGGTGTCCCTCAGGGTTCTGTTTTGGGACTGCTTCTATTTAACATATTTATAAATGATCTTGAAATAGGCATTGAAAGCCATGTATAAGTGTTTGCAGATGACACAAAGCTTTGTAAAGTAATAAAATGAACAAGGGATAACCACACACGCGAAGGATTTGGGGATTGTTATAGACAACAAATTAGGCAGCAATATGCAATTTCAATCTGCAGTTGCTAAGGCCAGTAAGGTTTTGTCTATTATTATGTATATTATTATTATTATGTTATGTATAAATAGGGGCATAAATTCTCAGGAACAAAATAGAATTTTGCCTCTTTATAAATTGCTGGTAAGACCAGACCTTGAATATGCTGTTCAATTTTGGGCACCATTTCTAAAGAAAGATATCACGGCACTAGAAAAAGTGCAGAGACGAGCTACAAAATTGATAAAAAGAATGGAGCATTTTAGTTACAAAGAAAGGTAAAAAAAATTAAATCTCTTTAGTTTGGCAAAATGGTGCCTGAGAGGGGATATGATAACATTATACAAATATATTCGGGGCCAGTACAAACCTTTATCTGGAAATCTATTCATAAAGAGTGTTATACATAGGATACTAGATCACACATTTAGGCTGGAAGAAAGGAGATTTCATCTAAGGCAAAGAAAAGGTTTTTCTTACAGTAAGAGCAATAAGGATATGGAATTCTCTACCTGAAGAGGTGGTTTTGTCAGCGTCCAAACAGATGTTTAAACTATAATTGGAAAAATACTTGCAAAAACATAACATACAGGGATATAATTTCTAATTCGTAGGATAATAGCTGCTTGATCCAAGGAGACATCTGACTGCTATTTTGGGGTTAAGAAGGAATTTTTTCCTAGTTTGTTGCAAAATTGGAAGCGCTTCAGACTAGGTATTTTGCCTTCTTTTGGATCAACAGCAAAAACATATGTGAGGAAGGATGAACTTGATGGACGCAAGTCTCTTTTCAGCTATGAAACTATGTAACACAGCACCCCTGCCACCCCCCCCCACCACACAGCTCTCCTCCCCACCACACACAGCACCCACTCCACACCCTCACTCACAAACACATACACTGCACCTGTCAGTGCAGTACGTGTGTGTATTCAGCATTCTGTATGTATTCAGCATTCTGTGTGTGTGTGTGTGTGTGTGTGTGTGTGTGTGTGTGTATTCAGCAGTATGTCTATGTGTATTCAGCAGTGTGTGTGTGTGTGTGTGTATGTCAGTGTATGTATTGCATTTGTTGGAGATACTAATAAATATAAGCTTAATTTTATCTATTTATATCATTATTTAAAATTTGTATCATTGAACGCTCTGTTGTGTTCTTATAAAACAAAAGATGTTAATTACTTTGGACAACTGTACGAGTTGTTTTTTCTAAACTTAAACTAATTGGCACTTTGAGGAAAAAAAAGGTTGGCCATCACTGTCCTAGAACTATCTGCAGAGCAAGGTCAAATAGGGCCCTTGAATGAGGCACCTGTATACTATACTTATGTATAATTTAAGCAACAAAAGGGGCCCCCATACTGCACCATGTTGACACTATGCATCATCGGTTCGCTGCGGACTCATCATTAAGTAAACTTTGACCCTGTACCTCACAGTCAGCAGACACATTCCAGCCAATCAGCAGCAGACCCTCCCTCCCAGACCCTCCCACCTCCTGGACAGCTCACTAAGAATGCAGCTTCACAATGAATGTAAAATGGATGCTGTCCAGGAGGTGGGAGGGTCTGGGAGGGAGGGTCTGCCGCTGATTGGCTGGAATGTGTCTGCTGACTGTGAGGTACAGGGTCAAAGTTTACTCAATGAAGAGTCCGCGGCGAACCGTTCGGGACATCACTACTCACCGCCCACAACAGGATTTTAAAAGATTAAAATTAGTGCAACTTGAAATTAGTGCAAATTGTGTAATTCTACGTCAAATATGCAAATGCAGGTTGCTTCAAGTTTTGAATTTCTGAAACCCAAGTAGTGATATTTCTCTAAACATTATATGGCTGCACAAGGTGTCCTTGGAAAGCAGTTTAACTGGCCTTTTTCCAGTATATTTTAAGTTCTCTGATCTTTCTTGATATGTCTAAAGTTGTGTAAATCTGACTAAACTAACCTTTCCATTTTCTTCAATTTTAAAAACTTTACTTATTCACTCCAAGAGGTACAAATGCTGTAGGGCTGAGAATATGGTGAAATTGGAATCAATGTAAATTATTATTCAATATAATTTAGTTAATTTAAGTATTAAATCTAATCTTTTAGTAATGCCGATAACTTGTTTAAGATAACGATTTTAATTTGTTGCAGAACAGGTGAGACTTGTTCTGACTCATTTCTGCAGTGATACTGTGCATTCACCCTGTAGCAGTTATGAGCTCCAATGGTAAGTTCTGAAGATGATCTCTTGATTCCTGCACACAATGTCCTTTGTTGGCAGCTTGAGTGAAGTTTATGGGCTATTTAGGTGGAAGAATTTTCTGACACTTTTAGTTCAACACAACAACTTCAAATTATGAGGCCACCATTTGTTGGCTATACACAACACGTCATTGTTTAACTCTGGTAGAACAGGCTGATGAGCACTATTTTGAAATATATCAATTGGAACTTTTGACAAACTTGAAGACTAGGAACATGTATGTGAAACATAAGAGATTTAAGGATTTGAAATCATCAAAGTAAAATATAAACAATAGTTTTCAACCTCGCTTAAAGAATTCATGGAGACATTGTTGGAAACTCTTAAAGGATCACTATAGGAACCCAGACCACTTCAGCTTAATGAAGTGGTCTGGGTGCCAGGTCCAGCTAGGATTAACCCTTTCTTCTATAAACATAGCAGTTTCAGAGAAATTGCTATGTTTATAATAGGGTTAATCCAGCCTCTAGTGACTGTCTCATTGACAGCCGCTAGAGGCGCTTCCGTGCTTCTCACTGTGATTTTCACAGTGAGAAGACGCCAGCGTCCAAAGGAAAGCATTGACTCGTGCCGCGCATGCGCATTCAGCCGATGGCGACGAGAAGGAGGAGGAGAGTCCCCATGCCCGGTGCTGGAAAAAAGAGGTAAATTTAACATCTTCCACCCCCTAGAGCCCGGTGGGAGGGGGAACCTAGAGACCCTATAGTGCCAGGAAAAAGAGTATGTTTTCCTGGCACTATAGTGGTCCTTTAAGGACCAAAAACTTCATCATGACATCAAAAAACAATTCACCATACCACATCTAGTGAGACTGCAAGGACATGTGCCTTTTATGGACTTGGGTTCATGGTCTGGTTTTCATCCACTATGTGGAACCAGAGCAACAAATCCCAAGCATTCTAGCCGTTTGATTTATCTAGATTTATAAAACGCATATAAGTCTAATGCAGTGGTTCCCAATGAATTTTTCCATAGAATGCTTTGACATAGTATACCAACCATCATGGAACACCCAAAAAATGTTTTGCGCTGTAGCACAAACTTTTTAATGAGCAGAGTGTAATGTTTTTCTTTTTTGGCATTTCTTTCTTATACCTTGTGTAATTGTTGACATTTGTAGTCGCATGTCTGCAGTTGAATCAAGTTAGCCTTTTATTGCAGAGTTAAGTGAGAATCCAGTTTCACACATGTGCTGGCGAATGGCAACACAACTTTGTTAGCCAGCTGCAACAATTCCAGGTATTGTTTGCTTAAATTGCCCCAAAAAAAGCAATAAGAGAAAAGGTTTTGAAATGTTTGGGTTAGTTGACTGTCAGATGTTATATTGCTCAGATTCTCAAAATCTACATCAGAAAAACTGTCTGGTTTGTCTTGTATGGATTGATTTCAAAGTCAGTCATTAAAAAAAAAAAAAAAAAAACGCATTTCCCCCAAGAATGGAAAACATTGATTAAAAGACGTGTAAATTGCGAAGATGACCTACAATTTCATTGTGAATTTAATTTTCAAGTTCAATTTCTGTTTCTTCAAGAAAATCCTTAAGTGTTGGAAAAGAGTTCAAATTACTGTGCTCCACATCTGAGGTCCAAAGCTGCAACTTACAAGACAGTGAAACTATTTTATCCCTCATATTAAAAATATTAAGTTTTTTTTCCCCTGGAGTGAAACATAATTCATTTAATTTGTGGAATATGTCTGCAACATATGCTATTATGAATAACTACAAAATGCTTGTTAATCGATCTGATAATCCAAATGTATCTTCCTGGAAACATGCAAATAACTCTTGCCGCAATTCAGCATTCTAACAGGGAGTTTCCCTAGTGATAGATTACACTCATCTGACTGCAAAAGCTGAGAAGAATGGTGACTACTGATATAATTTTAAATAATTGCGACTGTAAAGAATTACTTTTTATGAAATTAATAATCTGGACTGCTTCATCTAGCTTGGTGCGTTTTTTTTTTTTTTTTTTGCTACATTTTTGGTTTGTGTCACAGCGCCTGACACTTTTCCACCATTGCTTTGGCACCATCACTGCACACATCTAATATGTCCCAATTGATACAATGTTCATAACTTTCTGGATACAGTTAAAAAGATGTTCTCACCAGTGGTATGGGTTTGTAAAGTTTCACAAAGAAGCAAGTCTTCAATCTGTTTGTCAAAATTAAATCTTACAAAAACTAGAAACATTAAAAGCCCTGGAACATTTGTGAACTTGTCCAATTGCAGCGAGTACCCATTACATTGATGAAGCTGAGAAATGAGTTCTGTCTGGAAGATATCAGCAAGATCATGCATATGACTCAAAACAGTGTTGCCGGAGAGTGTCAAAGCTTTAATTTTTGCACACAACTTCTCCCTAAAATACATGACCTGATTTTATTAGTGATTCCCCAATTGTATATGCTTCTCTGGCAAGTGCCATGCGATAACTCACTCTGTAATAAGTCTCTGTGGCTTCATTTGTTTTGTTTTTTTTGGTTCATAACCTGTTTAGTCTTCAGATATCCCTAAAGCAGTAACATAAGCATTAACATAAACAGTATCTTTAACTTTGTACTCTGCATGTTTTTGTCCAAAATAACTAATTTAGCAGGTGCTAACAAACTGTTTGGCAATATTTTCTTCCAAAGTAAGCATTGTGTTTCAGGACAATATTCATTTCTGGCACTTGTGAATTCAAATGACAAGTAGCTGTCATCATATTTTCGTCTTCTAAGAAGATTGGATAGCATAGTGTGCTTTTCTTTTTTTCTTCAACTTGTCTCTTGTCTCTGCTATTTGAGAAACAGTAGATTCAACTATTTTGGACCTGTGTTCTTGATTTCTTGAATCTTCTTTCAATTTCTATAACTGCTGTACAATTAGAAGTAGTAACAATATGTATCTTGTAAGTTTCTACCTTTTTTAACCAGCTGTCCAAATTCATGGTTGTTCGTTGGTAAAAAAAAAAATAAACAAAAAAAACCCCACTTTTCTAACTTAGAAAAATACAAATTTCACTAACCAACTACAGAGTAAGTCTGAAATAGTAGATGGCGGGTGGGAATAAGAATGCTCTCGCTCTGTGTTTTCGATTTCTGGGAACAGGGAGGACCGGTGGTTATGTTGGATGTGGCAAAATTGCGATGGAACCTCAGGTTTCTGCGGCACACTAATTGGGAAACGCTGGTCTAGCGGGTAATACGCAATATTCTCTTAGTACTAGTATAATTCTGGAATTAAAATATTCGGTTTATTCCATGCCATAAACAATATAAACTACATTTCATTTAAAAAAAAAAAAAAATCCAAATATTTAAACATACAAAAAGGAAAGAGTCCATCATCATTTCTCAGAAAATATTTGTCATGTAGGCCAAGATACAGTTTTACTCTCAGTGGAGAGTGGATAGAGTCTGAAGGAAACAGATACACTGAAAACAATTGCATGATTAGGGATTCTTTCAACCACAATACTAGATCTTATTTTCTTTAGAAGCAGATCATCCGCCACATCAAGTAAGGACAAAAAAAATCCCCCTCTCCCAACAGTTTTGTGGCACAGTCAAAAGGAATAACTTTATTAACCGTTGCCACCATGAAGAAGGCTGAATGGAATAGTGGCACTACTTTGACATTTCTTATGACAAAAGGTACGGGTGGTGGTGTTTAAGTTGGTAGTAAAGTCAAATCAGCAGCTTGCCATAACCTATTACACTGTAATTTCTTCATAAATGTATTATATCGAAGATCAAATATCAAATTTATAATTTTTTGTTATTGTTCTAAACAGACCATATAGGAGGCCTCAAAATCTCTACTTATTTCTAGCCGTTGGCAAGTGAAAATGTAGACTTTGGTGAGTTTAACTTCACCCCTGGTGAGTATTTTATTGCTTGTAAATAATAACTTTAAAGGCCTAGCTAGTAGCATAGGGCTTCAACTTTTAAGCCATGAGAAAGTGAGAAATTCCTTAATTATCGATTCAGGGGGAAAAAAATGCACACACAAAAAAAACCCCCAATAAAACCCCCAACAAAAAAATGCAGTTGAGTGAACTAGTTTATTCCACAGTTGTGCATTTAATTTTTTTTTTACCAATAGACTGTTTTAGCCTTTAAGTTCAGCATTAGTGATGTCCCGAACGGTTCACCGCGGACTCATCATTGAATAAACTTTGACCCTGTATCTCACAGTCAGCAGACACATTCCAGCCAATCAGCAGCAGACCCTCCCTCCCAGACCCTCCCACCTCCTGGACAGCTCACTAAGAATACAGCTTCAAAATGGATGCTGTCCAGGAGGTGGGAGGGTCTGGGAGGGAGGGTCTGCTGCTGATTGGCTGGAATGTGTCTGCTGACTGTGAGGTTCAGGGTCAAAGTTTACTCAATGATGAGTTCGCGGCGAACCGTTCGGGACATCACTATTCAGCATGTATCACAGTCACTGTTCTACCAAAGATAAACAATTAAGTATGTTGTGTGTACAATAACAAAAGTAATGAGCTTTCCATAGATACCACATGGAGCTGTATTGCTCTTGCAGAAGTAATCGACAAAAAAAATAAAAAAAACAGAGATAGAGAGAAAAATCAAAGGTGCACACCTGGATTTGAAAATTTTAACTTTATTTATTGTGCAAAAAAAATTGTCCAAAGGATTGACGTTTGACCTCTATAAAGTCTTTTTCAAGATCAGAACTTACATTTTATCAACAGTGCAAATATATACATATTTCAAATAAACAGTTACCAATCAAAGTGCAGTGAATCCACCACCCGATCGTGAACCCGGAAGTGAGAGAAGACCACGTGTGACGTCATTACGTTACGTCTCCAATGTGGATGCTAAGGTAACTAAGCAACAGTAGTGATGGGCAACCAAACACCCGTGAGTGATACAATGAGCGTTAGTTTGCTCTTCCAGAATGGAGGATTACAAGGGTACCTATGAGGGTACATTATGAACTACATATATGCCAACATGAACATGTGAGCACATCAAACCTGTGCATCTACAATGTGAAAAAAACAAAAAAAAAACGTGAAAGGTAGTCTCATAGGTACCACAAAAAAAAAATAAACGGAATAGAATTAAAAAAAAAAAAAATTAATTAAGTCCCAATAGCGTCACTGAGCGGTTATGGGAAAATAATGTGACTACTATCCATATATGGTGCTTAAACTGGACAGAGCAGGAAAAAAATTATCTTTGTAGGTTGAGAGGTCAATTCAAACGTGTACACCCAAGATGCATATATATGCCTACTGGGTTGCTTAAGGATAGTACCAATCTGATACACTAAAAATAAATGAAGACAGCAAGAAATAATGAATATAATGTTGGCAGACCACAAGAGTCCAACCCAACATATGAGGGATTTCGCAGAAACGCCATTTCAGTATTATCATGGAGAAGAACTCCTATTTAACATGTATTACAAAGGTTACCGTATATATACATGTGTAACAAAGGTTACCGTATATACTCTAGTATAGGCCGACCCGAATATAAGCCGAAGCCCCTAATTTTACCACAAAAAACTGGGAAAACTTACTGACTCGAGTATAAGCCTAGAGTGGGAAATGCAGCAGCTACTGGTAAATCAAAACAGAGGAAGAGTCTGCGCTAGTTCAATTGAGCAGCAACCCAAAAAGGGAGATCCCTCACGGAACCCTTATGTAGGAAATGCGAAAAAAGAGGGGGTCAGGGGCTGCGCTTAGGT